TTTTTTTTTTTCTTCAGGGTGCCTGAAAGAGTACTCTTTTTCCTTCGCCTTCTTTGTGGCTGAGGGGGAGGTTTTTAGCTTTTGCAGGTAAGTAGCAAGACAAAACAAGGAATAGCTGAGAGCAAACACTGAATGGGAAGGTCTTACTGAGGGGAAAAAAGGTGCTGCCCCAACTGTAGCAAGGTAATAAAAAGAAAATAATGGGAAGTTAGGAGTCAGCTATGAAGTGTTTTTAAAGAAAAGCATTGGTGTAAGGAGCAGGACTGCCTATGGAGTAAGAAGAAACCTTACCAACAGGTTGGTAGTAAAGGGGTAAGCAATGGGAAGGCAGGTGACACAAGTGAGCTTCCACATAGTCTAGAGAGTCTTCTCTTCTGTGATTAAAAATACTCTTCAACTGCTACTGTCTATAGCAAGCTGGCGAAATTTAACTACCTTAGGAAATCTTTGAAGTAGGTGCCAATAGGTCATTGCTTGTGAGCAGTCCTTGCTTGCAAACAGGATTAGTTGAGATCTGTGCTGTGTGAGCTAAGACTTGAATGAATGATACTGCCCTGTGATCAGGTGGCAGTTAATACCAGGCCTGAGGCTTCTAGAAGTGGAAAAGTCCCTAGCAGTAGGCACAGCATGAAGATGCTAAAGCCTATCAGAATACTATGGAGAAAAGGGCTGTTGAGAGTATTTCTGAGAGAGCTGGCCATAGGCAGAGGTAATGAGGATAGGCAGAACAGCTCAGGGTTAAGCATAAAGTTGAGGTTGTGGCCGGGGAGCAAAATAGGACATCTGAGTCAAGGTTCTTGATATTCCTTAAATGCGAGGGGCTTGGAACTATGTACCAGTTGTTTGATGTATTACTCCCCCACTTACATTGATAACACTGCAAAAGCTCTGTGGCTTACCCAATGGCACCAGGGTCTTAACAGCTATGTGCATTTTAATATCCTAGTTATACTGAATGGCAATTGAGTTACGTCTGATTTCTCACTGTTCCTCATGGATACGAGCTGTTGTGTCTGAACCTTTGGCGGGGGACAGGGCTTGTGCCCACACAGAGCAGGGATAATACAAAAAGCTCTGTCTGGAAACATGTTGCAGCAAACAAGGGAAACAAGGCAGAGCCAGTTACAGTAGAGGTGAGTGGTGGTAGAACCTGATTGATTGCAGCCTGCTGTGAGTGTCTTGGCTGTTGTTAAGCAATTCTGTGTGTGACAGATTTGCTTCTTCCAGAATTGCATTGGTGCAGGCAGGTCGCTCTTCAGGGCCAAGTCACTTAGTCCGAGGCCACTCTGAAGGAGGCCACTGAAGGATTCAGTGTTGTAAGAGGTTTTGACTGAGCTGGGGCTGATGAATTTGAGTGTACTGCAGGTAGCTCAAGCTATTTGGTCTGAGTTACCCACTAGAGTGCTCCTGAACCTCAGCTGAGTGCCATTTCCTAGCTGGTGTTAAAATACCCGGTTGCCTGCAACTCAGACACCGAATCTCATTGGGAAGGGCGTTGTCCTTCAGCTCTGGCCAGGAAACGGATTCTTGAGCTGTTCCCCAGGTAGGGACCTTAAGCAGACTTTCTGGCTGGTCTAAAAAGGGCACTGGAAATCATAGATAGCTGGATTAGGGCCTTTTAATAGGCAGGAGGCCCTCCTCTGTGTCTGAGGCAACCAGCCCCTGCCTTGGCTGGCTTCCATGCATACAGCAAGCCCTTTGACTGTGAGCAGGCTACCTCAGGAGGAGAAGTGCTGCACTATAAATTTGGCCAAGACCTCTGAAAGGGGTTTTTCACTTTAACTGAGGTTTTACTCTTTTTGTTTAGAAGAAACAACTCTATTTATAGATATAATCAAGTTCCTCCTGCTGGAAATCTCCACCTTTCCCTTAGCATTAGGCAACAAAAGTCTCAGCCTTACCTGTGAACCCTAAGGACCCAGCAGTAAATTCTGGTGTGCTTTGTTATTTATCCCAGAGCTCCTGTCTCTCCTTCTTTGCCCTTGTATAAATTTGGTGCGATTCTGTCTATGCCAGTGGATTGCAGCAGCAAGGCACCTGGGTAAGTGCGGAGTGAGACCTGGGCTTTTCTACTGCACTGCCATAGCTGGGCTCCTTGCAGATAATTCCTCTGTGTGTGCAGCTGCCCAGGAGGGGAAGCCTGTGCTGTCAGTGCAGGGCTTGCAGCGCCTGGGCTTTCTCCAGGGATGGTGGACTTGATTTCTTTGGCATGGCTGTGCTGAGATCCATCGGCAGGTTTGGATTTGGGGTCCTGTGGAGCCCAGAACGAAGAAGCCTCTCTAAAAGCCAGTTACAGAGATCAGCGCTTGATGGCATCAATAACTCCCTCCGGGCTTCTTGCAGGCTGAGATAGTGGCAGATTGTCAAAATTACTTAATGTCCTGGAACACCACCCATTCCACTATGAATAGGCTCCTTGTGTACAACCCACATGATCATAGTGTTTTTCTGGTGTCTCTATGGAGACTGGAGACATACTTCTGCTCTATTGGTTTGGGATCTTTTTTCTTCTCTGCTTTCAGGTAAATCATCTTGTAGGAGAAAAGAAAAAAGCGAACAAACAGATATAATCCTTGTGAATAATGGATTAAGCATCAGTCGCGGAACACCAAAACATCCTGATCCTTTCTGTAGAGGGAGTTGAAGTATCTTGATTTTTCTTTTTTTAACACCCTACCACCCAGCTTGGCAGAGATCTAGCAAGCCTTGTGCAAAAAATAATAGGCCTTAGGCAGAGCTGGATGAAGCAGTCTGCATTCAGATGTGGATCCCCATCTAAATTAGGCTAGAGCATGGATTAAAGGGTGAAGCTGTGTTAGATTTGGTAAGCCTTCCACGCCAAAAATCAGGGGAGCTTTTTTAAGATCTTCCAATCCCAAACACTGTCGCTGTCATGAGATCAGATGCTTCCCCTTACTGTTGGCTCCGACCCCATCTGGAAAGGCGAATTAAATGAGATTTTCATTGCCTTGGCCATGTTAATATAGGTCTCAGTTTTCACTGGAATCCTAGAGAGGACAGTGATGGAGGTAAAACAATGAGGAAGAGGAAAATATTCAGGTTGGATTCCTAGTAGGAATGAATGCATGGGGAAAACACTACTCATTATCCCATTAATATCTGGGATGAGTACTAGGGACTGGGCACATCTCTTGTCCAAACCAGACCCTCAGATGCTGTGCTTGGGACAGTAGCAGGAACAGTTGCTTTCTGTGATATTCTCCAGCATTTTTTTTTTTTTGCTTCCTCAGCGGTGGGCTTGTCCTAAAGCCGCTCCACAGCGAGTCCCGTTGGTGTGTTTTACTGCTCAGGATGACAATGCTCCTTTGCATTCCTGGTTGCCGCTCCCAAACTCCTTAGCCCTAATTTACAAGTTGGATTCTAGGCTCTTAGCTATAGCAAGAAAAAACAAATCCCCACTTGCTGAAAGATGGCACTTGTCCTAAAGCCGCTCCACAGCGAGTCCCGTTGGTGTGTTTTACTGCTCAGGATGACAATGCTCCTTTGCATTCCTGGTTGCCGCTCCCAAACTCCTTAGCCCTAATTTACAAGTTGGATTCTAGGCTCTTAGCTATAGCAAGAAAAAACAAATCCCCACTTGCTGAAAGATGGCATATGTTTCTTGGCATAAAGTCAGGTGTACATGGTATCTATAAAACACCCAGAAAACCAGAGCCACCCCATAAATGTCTCTCTAAACGCCTTTAGTTCTGCTGGTGAGTCTGTCTCAGGATTCATAATGATTTATTCTATCCAGTTGGGCATGTTCTTTGGTGCCCTGAACAGTGGCAAGGCAACGCCCACAGTGAGCTCAGGCAAACCACTCCAGCCACCTCTGCCACCACTAATGGCACAACCTGGTTTGGTTTTGGTAGCAGCAGGGCCTAGGGAAGGAGAAGCTGTTCAGGTGTTGTGTGCCCCTGCAAAGAGGTGACCAGGGAAAATAGCAGTAGGCTCTGTCTTGCAGCCCCGAGATCATGGGAGGAAAATACTGGGGTTTAGATTGTGCTCTCTACCTGGAGAGTGCATGGCGTTGAGGGAGAAGGTCTTTCTCCCATCCTGAGAGTTAGCAGAGGCAGTTCCTGCTGCCATTTCCCTGCATGTAGAATGGGGACCATATCCAGTTTTGTAAGGCACTTGAAAATTGGGATGTGATGAATTCTTTCCAGCTTGTGCATTCTGAGGCTGCTACCAGCACTGATTAAAAAAATAAAAATAAAAATCAACTTTAGTACTTTAAAACAGAGCATTATAACTTATCTCACTTGAGGTAAGTACTGTTATGCTCGACTCCTAGATTAAATTGGCTCTGAGCAAGGAAGATTAAACCTGGGGCCTGTGGCAGAGCAAAAAATGAAGCAAAGTAGTCCCGATTCATGGTTTAACTCATTAATTGTAGTGAAGAAAGTAAGTGAAGCCTCAGTTTCTGCTGACCATATAAAGGGCCTCTTTGTAGCATTTCTGCCATAAACTCAGGTCTATCGAATGGACAGGTGCTGTCCTGCTGCCTCCTACCCCCACGTTGCCTTCAGCAGCTCAACCTGCTAGTGAGCCAGGCTGGTGTGGACCGCACTAATGTGGCAGCTCCGCAGTGAGGCAGGGGGAGGAGGAGAAGAATTGGTCTGGCTCGGAGTGAGGTCTGACACTCAGGCTGCAGGCAGATTTAAAGGTGACAGGAGAAGTAATGTAATTGTGGGAGTTCAGGACAGGCTGCCTAGCTTGGGAGCTGGGGGAAAAAATCCAGTGAAACAGCTGGACTTGGAGCAATCCCATTCTGCAGTCGCTTAGGCATGGAGTGAAATTTGCTTGTAAAGATAAGCTGGAAGCACCAGCCTCTCTGAAGGCAACGGAGCGCATGAGCACATGCAATTACCTCTCTGCTTTGCAATTTCGATTACATAGCCCACTCCAGTGCCCAGCAGTATCATCTTGCCCCCCTGCAAAGGGGCCAAGGTGAAGTTCAGAGTCAACAAATAATTCAATTTCTCTTCCCTCCTGTGGCGGGATCCTGCTTTTACAGACTCCTTCCAGGAGGTGGAGGAGAGAGACCCTGCTCAGAGGTGTCTCTGACTGTCTCTCTGTGTTTC